TACAGTATTTCGTGTAAAGAAAAAGACAATATCGATATCACATTACAATGGCTCATAGCGCATTCAAAAAGTGGAGTTCGTTAATACTCTTAAAATCTCCCATTTGTTAGTATCGGCGAGACTTTGATACTGATAACAGTATTGGGATCAATTGTGAAACGATCGCATTGAGCAAACTCTGTTCAAAACTGAAGTCATTATTGTAGAAAATTACTCGAGCTTTAGCTATCTAAGTTGGTTGGTGCGAATATGTGGTAAAATTTAAAAATCATGCTTGTATGCCAAGAATCTGCTCGTGTGAATTATACCATAAGGCACTCATTTCCCGCGAGCATCTTAGTAATAAGGAACAATTTTTTATATTTTCGTTTTAGGTAAGTCCAAGAATATATTCCAATACTTAATATAACAATTAAATGTAATTAGTATCTCTGTATTTTCTATAATTACCGTTATTGTGTAAAGCTGAAATAATACCAACATAATCGCAGTTAATTATTGTGATATTATAGTCTAGATGTCGATAATCTGATTTTGTCTTGTACCCTTGAGAGATACCAAACGTTTCATGTATAAATTAGAGAAAATTGTAGCTATTACGAAATACACGCGCAAAGATATCACTATTAATATACTATAGTATATATACATATACTATATATATGTATATATACATATATATGTGTGTATATATATATATATATATATAAATGTATATACACCTCGAAAAACTTTAATAACAAATAAAAACGACGTATTGCAAACATCATCTTTTTGTTTCTTCTTACTTCAAGAATGTGATAATCCTGAGTCAAATGCTACTCTCGTGTGTTTATATATAAAGAACTGTGATGGGACATATATTTATCAAATATCTCGCAAAGACAATAGAAAAAAAATAGTTAATGACAATAATACTAACACTATGATGGTATCAACCACTAATAAAATTTTGACAAATAGCTCGGAAAGTATTATGAGAAGTATAAATTCTATTGTATAAATGGATCAATTCTCTAAAAAAATTGGATTGCAATAGAATAGATAGATTTTATTTACTCTGCAGCGATACGAGGAAGTGTATAAACGCTCACAGATTTTTTTCACGTTATTTATCCTATAAATTGATTTCTTGTCATTCATTTCTATCTACGTATAAAGTTTTGTATATGCTTAAATTTCCCTTAATCCAATTTTCTATGGTTTAAATTGCTTCTAATAAAATGTTTCTAAATAATTCGGTTCGATTGGTTATATTCAGTGACATAATGAAATTGTCACAAACTGAACTGCTTTGTATACCGTGTTTATAACGTTAAAATATTTCGATATATTTATATCGAAGTATGTAGTTCAAAGTATGTAGTTTTCAAACAGATCATTACAATTAAATTTTTTAATAATATACTGTATAGGGAGGGGAAAAGCTTTCCTAAGTTCAAATTGCTGAAATAAAGTTTCAGCAAAGTTTCTGCGCTTATATGACAATATGATATTTCATTTTCTAGCGGTGTTCATTACAGCCAATTTTTGTTATATTTATTAACTGTACATGACTCACTCTTTTAATAAAGTGGTCACAATATGTATTAAATTGTCGGCAAAAAATCAATTACATATTACAGCAGAAAAAATCCTCGAGGTCAACGATTTGCGGATACATGTACATGATAAAGATAAAAACGATTATCGTGTCTCCTATTTTATAATGCATATGTTATAATACAGAATCATGGATGGAATGATACGTTTCCATCTTTCAGGGACAGAAAATATGCTCATATACATACAGTTATATTATTTACGGTTAAGATCCAAAAAGTCAAGTATAGTAGAATACGGAATTGAATACTTTTATACGAAAGATTGTAAAGATAATACAGACAATATTAAGAAAAAAATAAAATAATTGTGAAAATATAATAGAATAATATTCTTTATAGAATTTAAAGATAACACTTTTGTTTCTTTAAAATTCGATTAAGAATACAGTTTTATTATAACTTCGTAAAATTTCCATAAACAGAATATCTTGCACGACTGGAAAATATTTTACTGATAGATTTTTTTAATACAAAATTTAAAATCAATGTTTCTATACTGAAGATTTTTAAGAAGGAACATTTAAAAAAAAAAATTGATCAAAATATGTAGAATTTTTATTATATATATTTAAGTGACCAAATAATATTAATCAACTTTATTTTTCAGTTAATCTCGAGTAAACTTTAGCAGAATATGATAAATTACTATAATTAATATTGAGAATTATTATAATAATTAAGAACCTCTCATATTTCACAAAAAAGCATCTATCTTTTAAATATCTCCCAGTAATGTTGATATTCTGCTGTTATTACAATCTGTCTTTATATTGGTTACGATTTAATTTAAAATTAATTCATTAAAGTCTAGTTACAATTTTAGTTATTAGTTTTTAAGTACTTTGAAAATAGATAAAATTTCTATACAAAGTTTCCATATTAAAGTATATTGCTTTGGATTATCTAATGAATAAAGAAAGAGAGTTTCATACAGAAATTACAAGAAACTATAGACTTTAATGAGTTAATCTTTGAAATTTGTTGAACATCTATTGAAACTTTCTGTTTAATCATTATATGTTACATTTGAATATCCATAAAATACATATAATATTTGCATCTATATGCATATATGTATATATGCATTTGTCATAAGCTATATCTACATATATATGCATACATGCTGTTTATTTACATAAATTCAAAAAGGAGATATTATATGCTTTTTCTCCTCATTTTCTTTTACTGAAAAAAAGATGTAACTTTATAAATTCAATTATACATGTATCCGAATAATACTTTACAATTACAAGTCTATGCCATACTTGCATGAAAAGATACATTTTTTCAAATTTCTTATATAATAACGCTATTATTAATAATATCCAAAATTCACTGATTTTGATCCTTTTATATGTCTATTTAATCTACGTCGTGTATCCGCATTTCGTATACATCTTACACGAAGATATATTGCCAAATAATTAATAAGCACTAATAAGTCGATGATAAATTTCCTATTAATACAATTTCTTTTGTTGCGCGTTATATTCCGCTGAACAAGACAATTAAAAACTTGTTAATTTATAAATTATTATAAATTATACTAAGTGTCCACATACAGAATTGACGAAAGATGATTATATAGTTTCATGAACTCTGAATTCTTGATTCTTCCCCGACAAAAATTTCGAGAAAGATTAACATTTTTGTATTTAAAAAACTAAAAAAAAAATCGACGTCTCATAAGAAATTACGTTATGCCTACTTTTCGCCAATACCGGAACACTTTCTATACTTACTTGATCTAATCATAATCATTGCACAGAATAATCTTCCTATTTTATACAAGGTGACAAGACTCTATATTTAAAACTGGATTTAACAATAGCACATTATGGATTATTCTATTATGACTAGTTTTATAGCATCACTAGACTTCATTCAAAATTCGTTATATAAGAAAACTCGCAAAGCATTCGTGCTTAAATCAATTTTTTGTCATATTATGTGCATGAGAAATGTTTAAATATCTGTCACAATTATGTCTTATTCGACATTTTTCTCATCATATACAGTGGCATTCTATATCTCATTTTGAAATAGATGTGTGTGTGTGTGTGTGTGTGTGTGTGTGTGTGTGTGTGTGTGTGTGTGTGTGTGTATATATATATATATATATATATACATGTCATGTGTAATATATGTTTATATTATGTGCTACGATGCTCGAATAAAGGAATCTGTATTTAGTACATCGTTTGGTACAAATATTATTTGAATGTTTCTATTATAAATGTTTCTCACATACACATTCCTTCGATTCGCATCTATCTACTCATATACGCAGTTTCCCAAATTCTCTGCATATCCTTTCATCTATAGATTCCCTGATAAATTTGGGATGCATCTTTTTTTAACAAAAATGTTACTTTTTAACATTCAATTTTAAATATTTTTAATAATAATTAAAATAAAAATGTGTAATTTATAACTTTATATACACATATAGAATAATTTCTAAGACAATAAAATTAATATAATTTAATACAATAATCCTAAATATCTTCAGTTTTCAATTTAAAGTTATTATTTTACTATATACTTATTATATATATGTATATATGTATTTACATCCCTGAAGCTGACTTGAGAAACTCCCTGAATTTGTAATTATTTACAGTTCAAGAATTAAAACTCCTTTTTAATTTCAAATTAGTCTAAAGATCTGTAGATGAAAGATAGTACAAGGAAGCTGAGATCATATACATATATATATTTACAGGATGTCTCAAAAACATTAAGAGTTCTTTTAATGACATGTTCTTCAATCAATTTATGAGTGATTGAATAGAAAAAAAAACTTTACAAAAATCAATCAATTCAAGAAACCAATGAGTAATAAAACATTCTTTAATTTCAACTAATTCAAGTAGAAAATAATTTTCATAGAATTTTAATTTAAGGCTTAGAGATCAAATATCAAAAAGATATGTTACAAAGAAGTTGCAATAAACAATTATTTTCTTTGTTATATTCTTTTGTTAAAGAAAATCAATTTTTAATTGAACTGTTATTAAAAGAACTTTTGATAATTTTGCAATACCTTGTATATATGCGAAAAAAAGATTGCATTTTGTTGGCCTTAATAATGGGTTATCAAGGAGACTAGTATATCTGGCTCGAATTTTATAATTACTCTAGAGCCACTTCATTAAACTCATCTTTCTCTTGCGATGCTAAATAATATCTATTATTCATGGTTTCTTATATTATCCACAAAACTCGTTATGTTATTATTACGTGATTTATGCTCATTGCAATTCTAAATTATTAACAATTTAAAGTATCATAAATTAAATGAATATAATTTTAATTAATAAATTATCGAGCACTCATTTCCTTTAAGATATAAAATATTTATATTATTTTAACAAATAAAATATGTTTCAGTGTACAACAGTAATTATAATAATTATTATTATAACAAAAAAAATGTATTTATATTACTTTGCAGCTACTATCAATAAAATTATAAATCTTATAAAAGCTGTCTCTACAGGATATTTTATATAATGTGAATGAATTATGCAAATAAGTGCATTTTATATCTCCGTGCAAGGAAAATTCTATTAGATTTAATAATAACATAGAGTTTTTTCTGGTAACACATATAAAACATATTCTATGCGTAAATCATGTATGCAAATCCAACAGATATAAAAAAAGGAAAGAAATATATAATATCGTATGTAGAAATACTAAATTTAAAGATACTCGGACATATTCATACTGTAACATAAATGTAATAAATGTTATATGAATAAAGAAAAGATATAGTCCTTAAAAAAGCGACTATCTCGAATCACCAGATTATTGTACTGCTTGCACACTGAAAGCACGCACTCTCATGTACACTTTTATTTCATTTACTGAAACTTGTTGAGTA